ATGTTCACCAATGTTCACCAGTGTTTTTTTACTAAATATCGTTTACTTTTCTTTTTTTTAACTTCTAATAAGTCGTATTGGATTGAGGACCAACTCGCCGACGTCTCTACTCGATTTTATACGTCGGCGAGTTGGCGTCGGCAAGTTGGTCCGTCGGACCTAACTTCAGCCATTCCTGGTGATATATCATTAATTTGTAACAACCTTCCAAAAGTCCATGATTGGAAGCTCCTCCATGATAAGATATTTTATTGCAAAGTAGTACATCTCACTTTAGAAATAAACCTAAATAATATATCAAATCTTACCTCCAATGATCTCAAAGCTTTAACCAATAGTAGTACATCACTATGTGAGTATCTTCCCTTTGTACATACATATACATAAAGTTCTGATACTTCACCAAAAACAGAGCCACAGCTTTGGCTGGGATCTGTTTTGTAGTGCTCATTCCCTACTAATTCCCTGCTTATTCCCTGCACAAACTATATAGTAAACCTTACCTCCATCCCCCCATCATCAACAGCCATCTCAGCTTTGAAAACTCATTAAGGCTCATAAGAACACTGTAGATGAGTACAACAGCTCCAACAAAGTAATTAAGATTGATCCACTTTAGAGTGAATTTTCCAATCAGGTAATAGGGAACCAAAATAAGACGCAAAACAAATCGTAAATACTCTTCTGAAGGAATGACTGTTGCCTGAAAACACAGAAGGTTTCAGTTAGTTCATGGAAAAGAACTGTCTCAACAAGTAGGGAAAGAGTAATGACAGCAATTAAAAAATCCACTTCCTCAATTACTTCCCTTTTCATGAGCTACTACTGACATCAGATAAAAATATTTAGGGCAGATCACAGTTACAATTTACTGGTCAACCAATCAGGTGCAAGCTTAGGGTGGCTCCATAGACTTTTAGCCTGATTATCATGGATGCACACCCTAACATTCTTTTCATGGACAATTTTTTATGTTTCTGCTTTCAAGATCACTAAAAGTTACCAAAATGTAGCTAATAAGGGTCCAACTGTTGCTTTCTGCAGTTAATATCAACATAAAGGTTTCCTTTCTTGAGCTTAACTGCCACAAAGAAAGGTGCTCACTAGTGGTAATTTTGCTTTGATTTTGTTTTTCTCCAATTGGCTGAATTGAATTCTTTCACAGTTTTTACAACATGTGAAATTTGTGCTGTTGATCATTTTAAAGTAAAAAAAGAAAAAAGGGTTACAAAGGACAAAGCTTGCAAATTTTTGTTTTTTTACTTTTACATTTGAACTAGTCCCATTAATTTTTCTCATTAATTAGCAATAGCAAAAGCCCAATCTTGGGAAATTCTACCAAAAAGAAATTGGATTGATCTCACTCTAAAAATCTCTTCCTACTCCCAAAACATTACATCATAAATTAACTGTGCCAGGATAAATATCTGATCAAGCATAATATTTCATATCCATTGCCTTTTTTCAATCTTTCACCCTGTGTTTCCTTTAGGTCAACCTCTTTTTCAGGTGTATAGAGCCTATGGATATTAAGGGCATTAATGCTGAAAACCCTGGAGTCCATCATATAATAAAAGGCAGTCTATAACTGAATGTGCCTTCTATCATATAGTTGTACTTCTAGAGAATTGCAGTAAGAAAGAAATGTGGTGTAAAATGAAGAGGGGTTATTGAACAGCTCTCATTTATGCCAAAATTGTGACAAAAGGAGGACTTAGGTAAAGCAGAGTTTGTACAATGGTAAAATCACACACTGGGGACAGGGCAGGAAATTACCTAAGTACCTAGCACAACCCTGACCCTAAAGCTAACCTTAACCCCAATACACCTACTCCTTTTGTGTCCAAAGGTATAAGTTCCAAGCCATAGTCACCTCAACTTTTTTCTTTTCTTTCTTTATCTTTTCTTTTAAATTTTTTTTCCTTTCAAATTACATTCTCCTTCAAAGGATATGTTAAATATGATCAGAGTAAAATACACATGTGAACATTAGTTATCTTTTCACTTGTTGAGTGCTTTGACAGGGTAAAACTACCCAGACACACAAGATAAACACATTTTGTTTGGAAAGTTCCTTTAAGTTATTACTTAGATGTTGGAAATACATTTGCAGGTTATTTATAATATTTTCAAGCCCTCACCTCAAATATACTTCCTTCAAAGTTTGTTTCACTAGTATAATATAACAGAGGTTGAAAAACATCTTGGTTACAGGCAAAGAATGTGTAGAAGACTGTCAACCTTGGAAACTCACGTAAACCCCAAAGAAGAAGTATTGCACGCACAGGATAAGCAGCCTGGAATTAAACAAACTAAATTAAGGAAAAAAATGGTCTATGACCAAAGATCTAAATTTATACAAGATATTATTCTTTTGAAATCACATTTTTAAGATTACCAGTTAATAAGCATTTTTCATCATAACCCACCCATTAATTCACCAGACAGTTTTCACACAATAACCCCATCTACCTCAATAATTGTCTGATTATTTCTGTAAAAAAAACCCAAAGCCAGCAAGAAAAGCCAGCTCAATACTTTCACTTTTTCATATTTATTACTTGACATAGAAGAAAAGAAAACTCGCTCTGTAGAGTCCAGTGATAGTTATAAGAAATAGCTGATCTCAAATGCTGCTTGGTAAAGTTAAAAAAAAAGTCAATAGAATTTGCTGTCAATGTGCAATATGAAAATTAATGGGAGCTTTATTTAGTAAATATATCCCCTTTTTGGCTTTCTGGTATGTTGGCTGTTGTTGTCCTTGGCTGTGAGATTTTCCTCAAATTTCACATTTGCTCTGGAAGTTTCAATAAATAATAATTATTCACTTAAGATAATGCCTTTTAACATTAAAATGATCAAAAGTGCTTGACATGAATTTAAAACTATATATAAAATACAGCAAATATAATGAATTATAAGAAATATCTATATCTATATATGTATGTATCTATGCTAAAAATACACAATTGACCACCCCCAAGAAAAGTTACTTGTTGTAAGCTAAATTAAAAAGATGTGTCTTAAGTTTTTTCTTAATTTTGCTGAGTGATTTCCCAAATATTTTCTGGAAGGATGTTCCACAGTGTGGGGGCAGAAGCATAAAATGAATGAGCTCCTAATGTAGATAGCATGCGCCCCTTGGCAGTCCAAAAATAATGAAGAATTGGATCAAAGGGAATGAACAGAACATGACTTAATGGACACTAAGTTACTAATGTAGCTAAGTGACATATTATATATAGCCTTAAATGTAATAATTAAAATCTTAAAATAAATACAGTAAAACACAGGTAGCCAGTGATGGTTATATAAAGCTGGCGTGATATGATCATACTATCTAGTGTTCATTATAAATCTGGCTGCAGCATTCCATACACATTATAGGTTACTTATATGATATTTAGAAAGGCCATAAAGTAGGCTATTACAATAATTGGGTCTGGATGTAACAAAAGCATGAACTAATGCTTTAAGGGATTCCTGAGAAAGGTATTTAGAAATTCTACAAATATTGTGAATATGGTAAAAAGTGGTCTTACTAATTTGATTTATATGAGCATCCATACTAATTAAATTGTCAAATATTGTTGGCCAAAGGATCAATCATATGATCACCTATATGAAGTATTGACGGATTTAATTTAACTGCTGATGAGTTCCAATAACTAGAAATTCAGCTTTATCATCATTGAGTAACAGCCATCCTCCAATAAGCCAGTTCCTTATATCTTTAATGCAATCTTCCATTGCACGAATGGCCTCATCCTGGGCGTTAGCATCATCAGGCTTGAAACTCGCATATAGCTGGTTATGATCCACATAACAATGGACCCAGGGAAGATGATGCTTGATGACTTTGAACAGCGTAGATGTGTACATAACAAATAGTAGAGGACCTCAACAAGTTTCACTTCTTGGCAAACATTCATTTATCCGACAATATCTTGGCTGTGGACAGCCATGTAAACAGTGGGTATTTTTCTTTCAAAAAATACGTTACCATTAAATATAGATAATCTATACTTACTCAGATTTTCAGTACCATGAATATGACAGTCATACAAAAAATGTTAGGGTTGGGGAATCATCAGTGTCATTATTCTAACATTGCCTCTTAGTTTGTGTACCTTATATTCCCACACATCTGTTGGCTGCTTTACTCCATCAGCTTTTAATGCTTCAAGTTCCTTCAATAGTACCCGCCTGTGATAGGAAACTACAACATTAAGAGGGGGAGTCTCCAAGTCATATTCAGAGAGCGACATCAGGAGGTTTCCATCAATTCCTGCATCTTGGAACCTGTCACCATATTCTTCTGCCCAATCACCCAAGCTTTCAAGCCATTTAGCCACATTCTGTGTACTCCACTTATGCACTGGTTTTCTTACAAGAGGATCTCTTTGGTCCATGAACAAACTTAGGACATGATATATAAACTACAATCAACAAAAGAGAAACAAAGATTTACTATAACTAGATTTAAAATACAATAACAATCCCTTCAAAACATTTGTATCATAAATTTTACAAATTACGACTGGTGTAAAAGTGTATCATATACCCTAATCAGTTGACTTTGATTTCTGTAAACAAAAAATTAAAGAAGGTGTTTAATTAAAAGATGTATTGTTTTATAACTACACTTTCTTTAGAAATATTTGTAACAGACCATGAGGAACTATCTAATCCAGTCACAAGAACAACCTGTAACTTGTTTATTTTTTTAGAAGCTGTTAACTTTACTATAGTGCCAAAATTAATTTGGTTTAAATTTTTTTCAAACCAGTTAGATTAATATTCTGCTCTGATTTTCACATAATCAGAAGCAAATAGGAAAATATAATAAAACTGTTTCCACAAATTTCAAGCTGAGGAAAAATTACCACCACAACAGCCATTAATTGTTCAATTTTTGTTCTGTTTAAGACATGATAGAAAGACAGCTTATTTTGAGAGCTGTTCATGAAAGATAGCAAATGATGTAAGATAGCCATTTGCTAGATAACAGCACATTGCACACCACCTCAAATATAAGACCTTTACAGTAACTTACCATGACAATGCCAAGGACAGAGAGAACAATAAATATAAGCTTTGTGAAGGTAATCCCCAAATTTTGACCTTGAAGAAATTCTACTTCACGACTGCTATGCAACCTTTGTGAAGATTTGTTTTCTAGAGCATCAAACTTGGACAACACTAATCCAAAATCTGGGGAAGTTTCCTGGAAACATCTTCGTTCAGCCTCTTCCTTTGAAAAGAGTACTTTGATAGTTTTTCTACCAGAAAATAATTTGGAGAAAAATAAAAATTCACTACAACATCAAAGATATCATATCACACCACATCTATACAGCATACAAGTAATATCATATGATCACTCCAGTATTTACACAGTGAATGTAGCCTGTAGTAGGTTTCAATGTTATTACTATATTTTGCACATTTGTTCCTTGTAGTTTACATGATATACAGTAAATTCAACACTTATTTCTGTCTTGAACATGAGCCCTTTCACTCCAAGGGGTGATTACAAGGTAGATTGAATTTCTCCTTAAAAAAAGGAATACATTTTCAACCAATAATATTGTCATTTCAACAACTTTGTCAAGAAGGTAAAATGTAGAAAAGCAATGGGAATTTTTTCTCAAGACTGAACTGAGTGGACAAAAATGTTGTAATTGATATGAAAACTTAACTAATGCAATGTTTACGAAATATTACCTGTAAATTTGCATTTAACAGTCCCTAATGAAGGCTTTTATGTTGTCAGGTACTCTTATAACATGAAATTAAGTACTTTGCATATCAATAGCATGTTGTGCCTGGGTATTTGAAGTTTTGAAATTTTGCAAGAAAGCTAAAATAAATTTGTAATTTAAAAATTTTAAGAATGCACTGCTTAACCTTCTTTATAATATGGGAGAATAACAAGTTTATTTTTTGCATTCATAGTAAGAATGTAGAGCACTTTGTTCATAAAGTATGAGGCTGTCCAGGTAAAAGTCACTGCACTGCAAAATAAAACTTGTTCTCATCTCACCGTAATGCAATATTAACTTTTGGGAATCCTGACCATGGTTGCCGACACTCTGGACATGTGTTGTGTCTTGATGCATGCCACCACTTTGCAAGGCAAAACCGACAAAAGCTGTGTCCACAACTAAGTGTAGTAGGTTCAACCATCAGCTCAAAACAGCAACCACATTGTAAATCTTGTTTTAACAGTTGACTGTCCTGGCCACTCTTTGCCATAGCCTCTGGATTGGAGTAGGAATGATTACGATGTAAGCTTTATAAAGAAGTTAACTCTATTTTGGGAAGAAAGTAATTTGGTAACACCATACATTAATAAGGCAACCGTGTGTAGTAAGACGGTAAAAATTTCCGCACATCCCCATCCTACATTATACATTCAGTTCTTGAACAGAGAAAACAATAAGCAAAAACAATACATTTCCATTGGGAAAACAGATTTGTTTTACAATAGTATGGGG